CGTACGGCACCGGCACGGCCCGCGTCACCTGACCGGCGCGTCACCGCCACGTGACACACACCCCCCCGCCGCCCCGCCTCCTGGGGCCTATAGGGGCCTATAGGGGCCGTAGAGTCCCACTGGGGGCTGTGGGGGCCCGGGTCGGGGCTTTGTAGGGGCCTAGATGGGGGAGACAGGGACCCGAGGGGTCTACAGGGGCCTGGGAGAGGGTATGAGAGGGCTGCAGGGGTCCACGGGGTCTATAGGGGTCTGGGTGGTGGCCCGTGAGGGTGTCAGGGCCATGTCAGGGCTGCAGGGATCTGTCTGAGGGAATGGGGAGCTGAGTGGGCTATGGGCGCCTGGCTGAGGGTCTGTGGGGGCTATAGGAGCCTGGCTGGAGGTGTGGGCACTTGTGAGTACTACAGGGGCCTGTCTGGGGGTGTGGCGTGCTGTAGGGGTTTGTGCTGGGGGGTGTATGGGTGCTATAGGGGCCTGGGTGCTGTGAGTCTATGGCATGACAGCTGCATGGCTGCCTCATGCGCTGCCCGGGATGTTGGGCTCCCCTTTGCTCTGCTGGTCCCAGCTGTGCTGGCTCCTGGTCCCAGTAGCAGCTATGTGGCTGGGGGGGGCCTGGGCTGTGCCCCATGAGTGACCGAGAGCCCAGGCATGGCTCGGCTGCGGCATGGGGTGCCGGGGTCCCCACCCCATCTTTGGGGTGCTGGGAGGCAGGTGAGCCGTCTCTCCTTCTCCCCGTGATCTGTGATGAGCGGGGTAGTGGTCTGCTCCCCACTGGTGAGGGAGAGGCCAGGGGGTGCCTGAAGGAGCTGAACACAACTGTTTAGCCCACTTTTACTTCCCAGGTGGACCAGCCTGTGCTGCTTGGGAATTCCTGAGCTCTCACCTGCTTCCTGGCTGCTGGGGCTAAATCTCAAATAATCCAGAATCATCTTTGTCAGGGCATCCCAATGTCAGGTACAGCCGCCTGTTTGTGTGCCAGGATGTAATGGATGGGGCTGGTAGTGGGAGAAATGAGCTGGCAGGGGGTGGGGGAGAGATGGCCAGGCTCCCCAGATGCAGCTGCTGCCAGCAAAGCACACTATGAAAATTAAATTGGCCTGCAGAGTGCCGGAAGGGTGAGCTGGCAGAAATGCCGGGATGCATCTGATCTCACCGGGCTTAATCAGCCTGAGACCTGGGATGAGGCTGGTCCGTTGGCCAGGCGCCGGCTGGCCGCAGCCGAGCAGAGTCAGAAGAAGGAGGAGGAGGAGGATCTCGTCATCCCCTTGGGTTGGGCAGGGGATGGGAGTATGAGGAAGGTGAAAAGGAAGGGCTGGGACTGCGGGGAAGGGGGCTGTGGTTGTGCGGGTTGGTGCTGGCAAGGGGTAGGCAGGGCTCGGGGCACACTGGCAAGGCTTGGGGTGCAGGCAGCACAAAGTTCTGCCTCGTCACAGCCATGGTGTTGACTGTTTCATCTCGCCCTCCTCTCAGGGCAGTCCTGGCAGGGGTTGCCCACTCACGGCCCCATCAGGAGCGGGATGTGCATCTCCGCATCCCAGCTGGATTCTCCCCATGGATTCAGTTTCTTGTTCCTTCACTGTCTTCTTGCCTTCGTGCTCTGAGCTGGTGACCTGGAGGAGCTCTGGCCGCAGCTACAGGAACTTGAGCATAAAATGTGGCTAAAGATAAACCAGTGAATGGGTAAAAATAACCCCAGCTTACTCCCCACACGCCTGTCTGATGCTGGCCCGCTCCAGTTACACAAACAAGTTCTTGCCTGCAGGAGCCCCTGCAGCCTTGGGGAGGGGCAGAGGAATTTATTTTGTTGTTCCCATCATTAGCTGACGAGCGTGCTGGGCTAACAGGGGTGCTGTCGGGCAAAGCATGCTCGGGGTCTGCATGTAGTGGGGCCGCTGCGCTCCTCCCTGCACCTGGGCTTGGCATGTGGCGGGGTTGGCTGCTCCCCATGAAAGGTTTGGGTGTATCCGGGGGGGTTTGGTGTTTGCAGGGATAACTGCCGGCAGCTCGCCCACCCGCCCCAGGAGGAGGTACCGCTCCCAGAACCGCGCCAACCCGGTTCCTGCCCTTCCTTCCACAGGAATGAAGATCGCTGCCCAGTTGTGGACCTTTGCTGGTGACGGCTGACGGGCGCCTGTGGGAGTTCACACCTCTCCCAGGCGCTGGCTCCGGCTCTTGGCACGCGCTGGGGATGTGCCTCGGCTTCCCTTGCTGACGCTGCCTGGAACAGCAGCGAACTGCTTTCACGTCTGCCCCGAGAGGCACGACTGGCCCAGGCTGTGGGCACAGGAGCTGCTCCCGTGTGTGGCTCCGCTGCCTCCCCCGTCCTCCCTCCTCTCCTGCCGTCGCAGGGTGCTCCGTGGGGAGAGCCTGGATTCAATTCAGCCCTTCACAGAGTTACAAGTGCTGGCGAGGTGGTTCGGCTACTCCGGGGGAGCCCTCGGGAGCGTTTCCCTCCCTCCATCCGTGTGGAAGTGAGCGGTGGGTCCCATCCTCGCCCTGCCCGAGCTCTGCTCCCGGCCCTCGCCGCTCCCTGACTCCAGCTGTTTCTATGCCCAGGGCAGCGCTTCCCGGCTCTCCCACTCTCCTGCTCCTGACCCTGCAAAAGCCTTGGCGAGAATCCTGGAGCAGATCCTGCCCTTGCTGTGGAAGCGGGATGGAGATGTCCCTGTGTTGCCCCTGGGTTCCGCTGTCCTTGGGTGGGTTGGGGAGCTCAGCCCTGCTTGCTCCCCCCCTCCCCGTGCACTCCCCCCCCATCTCGGCTGCACGATGCGGAGGCTGCTGGGGTGAGACTGCAGCTTCTGGGAGCTCAGGGTTCAAATCCAAACCAGGGCTTGGAGCAAAGGGAATCCTCCCAACAAGGAGTTTTCTTCTCCTGACAGCCAAGTTGTTGCCTGACCCCCCCCTTTCCCTCGCTCACCCCCCAGCTATGAAAACCCTTGTGCTTCATGCCTGAGCCACTGGGAATGGTGTCCTGCCATGAGCTGGGCCGGGGGGGGGAGCGCTCCCCTTGGTAAACCCTGCCTCATTTGGAAGTTGGCCCTTGCACTGAAAATAAAATTCTGTTGAGATGGCACGGGGGGGATGACAAAGCCCACCATGGTGCCAGGAGTGACCAGGCTCCCCCTCTCACTCCCTGCTTGTCCGGGGGCAGCGACGGCCGCTCCTGTGCTTGTGCAGCAAAACTGGCCCCGCTGAAACCCAATCGCCAGCAGCTGGTGCCGGGGTGGGATGAGGCCATGAGGCCCCGGGAGCCCCAAGGTGGGAAGCGTCCTGTTGTCCGTTCACGAGGCAGTTTTGGGGTTGGAAATCCCTGACCCGCTGGGCTCTGGGGTGGGGGGGCAGGCCTCTGGGAGAGCTGCTGTCGCTAATCTGGAGCAGCTGGCTTCTCCGGCATATTATCGGGCTTGGTGTGGGGAGCGGAGTGAGCTCTCTGCTGGGACCCCGCTGTGGTAGCCCCGAGGGTCTGTCCTGGCATTGCTTGGGATGTGGGGCTGGCTCCCCCACAGCTGGAGTGCTCCAGCCTTGGATTTGGGTCTGTTTGAGGGAAAATAAAGCCGATTTGGAGGCTTGGGTGGGAGGAGGGAGGCTTGAGAGTGTGTTGTCCCTGAGGTGGTTGGTTTGGAAGCTGGGACGAGAGCCAGGTGGCAGAGCAAGTTGGGGTTGCACGCTGGGATCCCATCTCCTCTCTCCCTGCTCCTGGACATCCTGAAGCCTTAATAAGATTTTTTGGGGAGTCCCCTCTGTGCTGAGGGGCGGCACTGGGACCCCAAGTCATGTTTTTATCTAGATGAGCTACTCACCCAGCTTCCTGGCCACCAACACCTTCCTTTCTATTTATACTCGGCCTGATGCTTGCGTGATGCCATCCTCTTCATCAGGCAGCAGCGGCTGGATGGGAGAGCTGATGGGGAGCTCGGTGCTCCCCTGCTGGGTGGGTGATGGGGTGCGAGGGGGGGGCTGCAGGAGGCTGAGCAGCCCCCGGGGACTGGGTCTGTTCCCGTCCTCCGCTCCCAGGCAGGGATCGGCCGTTTCCCACGTCAGGAGCACAACGGCTGGGACATTGGAAAGGGATTTGGGCTGCGCAAGAGGAAAGAACGGGTGAGCGTGGGGAGGGCTGGATGGCAGCCAGGCGGGGGGCGATCTGGGGGGGGCATGGACCCTCTTGGCCTTGCCTTCATTTCCCCCGAACACAGGGCTGGCTGGCAGTGAGGAGGAGGAGGAGGAGCAGCTCGGGGTGAAGGACTGTTCTTGCATCTAGCGCGGAGCTGGAGCTCATTCACACGGCCGGAGCAGCCCTGCCAGCTCCCAAATATCTTCACAGGCCTTTGGAGAGCGGGAGAGGTTAAAAATAGCCAGTGTGCTGGAAAATATGACAGCCCCCCCTTTCCCTCCCCCCCCAAGCTGCCGTTTGGGGCATGGGGCCGTGCTCGAGCCACAACTGCTCCCGTGGGACCCTGCTGTGCCGGTACCGCTGGCCCCCCCGTCCCCTGGGAGCCAGCGAAGGCACCGGCCCCTTTGGCGTGGGGGTGCAGGGGTCCCATTCTGCTGGGGAGCCAGCTGCTCCTCTTGTTTTGGGGTGCGGGGGGGGTTACTCCTCTCCTGGCCCAAGGGTGGAGGAGGTATCAGGGTGTCACTGCAGGTGACGGAGTTTTGGGGTATCAGGGTATTGGGGTATCACTGCAGGTGACGGAGTTTTGGGGTATCAGGGTATTGGGGTATCACTGCAGATGACGGGGTATTGGGGTATCGCTGCAGGTGACGGGGTTTTGGGGTATCAGGGTATCACTGCAGGTGATTGGGTTTTGGGTTGTTGGGGTGTTGCTTCTTGGCAATGACCATGCAGAGCCCGATTGCCGTCCTGGCACACTACGCTCAGCAGACATCTTGTGAGTGCTCCTCCACTCCGTCCTGGCTCACAGAGGGTCCAGAGGTGGGCGATTGCCCCCGCCTCAACCCCCCACCCAGGGATCCCCTGCTGCCCAGCCCTGGTGCTGTGCCCGGTCCTGGGGGCCGTGGCCCCGTTTCAGCAGTGCTGGAGGGGGGTGAGCAGCAGTTTGGGGCTGGGGGGGGGTCACCGGTGCCTCCAGGGCTGTGCCTGGATGGGGAGACCTCCCAGGGGTCTGGGGCTGGGCTGGGGGCTTCGACATCTGCCTGCGCACATGGGCACGGCTGGTCCGTGCGGCGTGGGGTGCCATGCACTGTGATATGGGGTGCAATGCACTGCGATATGGGGGTGCAGCGCTGTGCAGGGTGCTGTAAGGGGTGATGGGTGCGATGCGCAGCGATTCAGGGCACGGTACACTGTGATGTGAGGTGCACCGCGCTGAGCAGCGCTGTGCAGGGTGCAATATGGGGTGATGGGTGCGAGGTACTGCGATGCGGGGTGCAGCACAGGGTGGTACAGGGTGCGATGGCCTGTGTGGGGTGCAGTGCGGGGTGATGGGTGCGATGCACCGTGATCTGGGGTGCAGTACACTGCGATACGGGGTGCAATGCCCCGTGCGGGGTGCAGTTTGGGGTGACGGGTGTGATGCACTGCAATGTGGGGTGTGATACCCCGTGCAGGGTGCAGTATGGGTGTGATGCACTGCGATGTGGGGTGCAGTACACCGTGATATGGGGTGTGATGCCCCGTGTGGGGTGCAGTACAGGGCGACGGGTGCGATGCACCATGATCTAGGGTGCAGTACATCGTGGTATGGGGTCTGACACCCTGTCTACAGTGCAGTACGGGGTGATGGGTGTGATGCACCAGAATTTGGGGTGCAGTACACGGCGATACGGGGTGCGATGCCCCGTGCAGCGAGGTTGGGGGGGGGGCTGCTGCGATGCTCTGCCCCGGGCTGGGCGACCCGGGCGGTGACACACGGTGGGACCCAGCCCGCGGCAGGCGGGGCGGGGGCCGTGCTTCCCCGTCCTCCTCCTCCTCCTCCTCCTCTTCGCCGGCGGCCGGAGCAGGAGCCGGAGCCGGGAGGAGGGGGGAACCGGCGGTGACCGGCGGCATGGCGGGGGCTCGGGGGTTCTGGCTGCCCTGGTTCTGCCTGCGGCTGATGGCGAGCGCAGCCTTCAACCTGGATGCCACCAGCACCCTGCTGAAGGACGGCGACAAGGGCAGCCTCTTCGGCTTCGCCGTGGCTCTGCACCGGCAGCTCAGCCCCGAGCCGGCCGGCTGGTGAGTGCGGGAGACCCCCGGGAAGGGGGGGGGGGGCGGCTGGGGGGTCC